TTTTTATTTTCCATGTTCTTTGTTCAGAAGTTTTACTCTGAGGAGAAGTTGTACAGAGTAAAATGTCTATTTACTAACATAATGCTATTATCGATAGAGATTGCAACTCGAATTTAATTTGGACGAAATTCTAAGAATAAAGTGATATTAAGGATAAATAAACAGTATAGGTAAAAAGAAGAGGTTAATGTAAATTTTCACGTGCCTCACACGTGACTTTTCCATCCAAACTAACGGCAATTTCAAACGGTGGACGGAAATTGTAAAAAAAACTAATTATTTGAGGACCAATTTCGTGCTAGAAAAAATTTATCGACCAAAATCGAAAATGGTGTATAATATAGGGACGAGAGTTGTAATTATCCCCTTCCAAACCCTAATCCTATTAATCTTTTCTCTTTTTTTCCCGTCTCACCCATCTTCTCTCATGTCCTTTCTTTTTCTATTTTTTTCTCTTCTTCCTTTTTTCGTCCAAATCCTTCTTCTCTCTCACAGAAGCAAGTGGTCGGACAAAGAATTGTCGGCGCCCCATATCTTGTATGCCCTCATGGCGGTGCTCCACGAGGCCTAAATCAAAACGATCCTGCTGTCGTGAGCAACAGCAGCCCCTTCTCGCCATGAGCGTCGATCTATTATTGTCGTCCGAGAAGAATGAGATCAGTCTCCATGCGGGTGGAAATTAGACGGTGTTTTTGTGGTGACGATGGTGGGGATGGTGATGGTGTTGTGTGACGACGGTATGGTGACAATGGAAAGACAGATCTAGAGTTTTTTGTTAGATCCGGCGGGGCGGAGAAAGTCGCGCATGCTAGACCCCTAATCGACTATGTTAAGTTTTAATCGACTATGCTTAGTAGTCGATTAAGGTTTAATCGACTGTGATCAGTAGTAGATTAAAGTTAATCATTACGTTTTTTAATTCATTTTTGAAATTTTGGTTATTGATTCCCGATTTTGCCACGTGTAGTCGAACTTGGGGCCTTTAGGTCATGTGTTTTTGTTCTGTCATTGTCAATCCATCATCCAATTTCTATAAATCAATACAATTTTTGTATATCTTTTGTTTTGTAAAAAAATAGCTGATTTTTATTTTCTTTTTTGTAGTTGTTTTTGTTATTTGTTTCGGTTGGTTATTGTTTGGATTCTTTTGTTGAATCGTGTTGGTTTTGATTGAATATATTATGGTTGTTGTTGTTGTTACTTTTAGTAATTAATTTCATTATTCAACCACAATTTTAGTTGTTAGTTGGTTAATCAACTATTCCCTTAGTCGATTGATTTCTGACAGAGAAAAAGTATTACAAAAAATTTAAAAACAATAATAATAATAAAAATTTATTTTTTTTAAATTAAAAAAGATATTAAAAAATTAAAAATTAAAAACAAAAATTAATTAAAAAAAAGGGGGGAACAAAACTGGGGATGTCTGTAGTTGGAAAAAAAGATAGTGGATTATTAAGGAACGGAAAGGAGCCTGGGTTTACATCAAAGAGTGAAATATGAGTTGGACATCTCCCTATTAATGAAATTTTTTCGAGGTTCTCAAAGTGCCCCATTTAATAAAGGCAAAAATCAACCCTTTGTAATTTGGAATTACCGAAAACATCCTCATGTTCAATAAATCAACAAGGACCCTCCTATGAAAATCAGTCAAATTAAATAAGGTCCTTGACAGCTTATCGTGGACACCGCGCACAGAGTGGGCTACCGGGGGTGACTTTTTGACCCGAAAGACCAAAATACCCTTTAAATTATGATTTTAAAAAATTACAGATTCAACCAAAAATGAAGTTTTTGAAATTTTCAATTCAAGTTTTCACATTTTCAGAAACACCCTCTCTCTAAATCAACTCAAAATTGGAACATCATTCTCAAATTTTAATTCAATCCTTAACACACCATCTTCTCCTCATCGAATAATGTCTATCTTGACCTCATCGAAAAATGTCAATCTCATTTTCTATTCCCAAAACGGCTTGGGTGACCTCCGACCAAAACTCGAATTCCTCAACCAGCCACGAAAACCCTCAGTTTCTTTAGTGAAATTCTAAAAGAACCCATGGCACCGAGGCGGCGTTGGAGTTTGGAAGCAGGCATGAAGAAGGAGATATGGTCCAGCCAATTTTTTTCTCTTGTTCAAAGCTTGGCAGCACGAAGTAGATCTAGGTGGGTGGCTCCGACGTATGCGACGGTGAATCTCTGTTGAGGTGCTAGCATAGTCCCACGTCGGTTTAATATGGGAAATATAACTTCTTTATAAGGAGTGGATAACAACTCTATTTATGGAAATGGGACTTTTTGGAAAAAAAAACTCAAGAGCAAAACCAATTGGGTTTGGCCCAGATTAGACAATATCATACATATGTAGAGCTTGTGGTATCCCGGTGGGCCCCTAACAATCTCGGCGGTGAATCTCCAATATGAGGTTTTTAACAGAGAGGTGTTGGGTTTGGGTTTAGAGACGGGATGGAGGTGGATGGGTTTGATTTGACGGTGAAGATGATGAACGTGGGGGGTCGGGTGGGTGGCTTTGGTTTGACAGGAAAGATGAAAGAATACTGGATATGTTTGGTGAGCTTTTGGGCATGCATTTCCATTTTATTCTGGAGAAAAGATGTTTTTGGAGAAGAATTTGAAAAAAAAAAAAAAAAACTTGTTTGTGTTTTGAGATGAGACAATTTGTACTGTAGTTAAATCATGTTTAAAATGTATTGGAGAAAGAAATTTAGAGAAAAGAATTTGAAGGATAAAGTAATTTTAGTTTGTATTTTAGTGAAGATAATTTTCACTTAACAGTCAAATCATATCTGTTAGATAGAGAAATATTTGAATTATTTTTTGGAGAAATTTTTGAAAATATTTGAAAAGACAATTTTATTGTGGGAAAATAATGTAAAGAATTTCAAAACCTAAACAAAAATAGCTTATTTTCTCTCTTTTTCACTTTTTTTTTTTTGTTTTCACTTTTTTTTTTTATTTTTTGGGTTGGGATATTCTTGCATTATTTGTAACTATAGATAATTTTTTCATTTCACCTAACTACCTAAGTCAACAGTAAAATATCAAATAAGGGGAAATGTGTTTTTTAAAGAATAACATTGGGTGATTCTTGCTATCAATACAATGGTTTTTGTGGCCAATCGAAATTACACATGGATTTTGTACAAATAACTCAAGTAATAAAACATCTTGAGGAATATAAAAGAAAAAACATAAAATAATATATAGAGAAAATCACCACGCACGTGCAACGCACGTGCAACGCACGTGCACCTTGCTAGTATATACAAATATACAAATCTGGTGGATATATATGGTGCTTCTCTTAATACCTAAAATTCACTAATTATCGAAATATTAAACATAACTAAAGGTATTGAGTTCTAATTGCCACCATTGAGACCAAAATAATTACAAAAATCCATATCTACATTACACGAAACTATTGAACTTTGGAGATAAACATGAAACTAAAGCTACTCAGATCATTAAGTCAAATAACCCAAGCTTGAATGGCCTTGCCAGCTTTTCCTAGGTTGACGTTATTAATTGCGATGAGATGATAAAGGAAAAAAAAGGAATAAAAAGATTTAAAGATGGAGAAAACCAATCAAGAAAGCAAGACAAATACCAAACACAGCCTACTACATGATTCCAGAAAAGCAAAAAGACCGAGGAAGTAAGCAAAATCGACGGCAACTAACTTTGTTCGAAACAAATTTAAAAGGAGTTTTTTGCCTGAAAGAGAAACTAATAAGCTTTTCAATCAACGGAGAATGATAGAAGTCTTGCTTACTGTTTCGGTTCTTGCATATAGTATTCAATGTATTCTATCCTCATCATCAAATCTAATGTTACGCCTCAGATAATTAGCCAACCTCAATCTGCAGCCCCTCCAAGTATTTTCAGACCTGATATATATGACCAACTCAATAAATGAGTAATAACATAAGACAACAAGGTACATATACATATATACACACCCAAATTAATCTAGTCCACTTCTCATTCTATTAATGTAAGCTTGTAGCACAGATTTTATTAATGTCAATCGAGTAATATTTGTAAATTCTATGACAAAGGTAATTCACCTCTATATTCTAACAAAAAACTTACTTCCTCAAATATAAGCACACTTCAACATAGTTTTCCATAATAAAGAAAATGACATTAAAAGCCGTACAAAGAAATGATTAAATGCCAATATATACCTGTGGCCGTAGTATTTTGTAGTTGCTCTATGTATTTCAGAGCTTTAACTTTTGACCGGAATGCTCTTGAAACACCCGGTGCGTAGTATCTCTGCATAAAAAAACAAAACATCAATTCTTCATTTACTTTCCATGTTGCACATCAATTGATGATTTATCGTTGGTTAGCCATTTAGTTTTTGGTACCCCTCTTAGTTTGGAAAGAAATTAATTCCTTTCAATGTAACTCTTTACAGTAGTAGCTATACCTACTAAAACAAGGAGACGTGGAAAAACTAAAACAAGACAACAACGAAAAGTGAAGGCTAAGAGTATATATATACATATATTTAGTTGCAGAGTTCATCATTTGTACCAACTTATTCTATAACTCTCATTCTATCATGGCTGTTGTGAATCAACTTTTCAGTTCTCATCATTTAATCTAGGTACTGTAATTTAAGTATCAACATTTTACCTATGTTACAATTTATTTGATTTCTTTAAAGTAATAGTCATATTTTAAAACAGTTTCAATCTCGTATTGTTTTCTTGTGTAATTTTGAGGTATATTTATTTTTAAGAAGTGAAAAATATAATTTTCTCTCACATTTTTAGTTTAAATCACTCTAAGCCCACCTATAATGAATTAATGGTAGAGTACCATGTACCAATTATGCCGTACCAAAGTAACGGTACACCGAAAATTGGCATACCGCAATTTTTGGTGAGGTAATAGTATTAAATTATTTAATACCATAAGATATTTTCTCTTATTTTTGGTGAGGTATGCATTACTGTGCCAAATATTCGGCAACCATACAGAATCCACCCCTAAATGATACTCATACACATACTTGAGAGATATACATATTTTATCAAAATGTTTTGGAGTTTTTATGCGTTTGAATGTAGAAAAGTTAATGCAATTCCCGACAAACTAATAAACATATAACAATTAGTATACCCTAAATTACCTTGTCTTCGTACCCGGGAAATTTTCCAGTCAACAGCCTTTTGTTTACTCGCTTCACCCATCCTTCGGGCATCCACGAGTCGTCATCCACTTCTGTTTTCTTGGTTGGCTTCTGCACAAAATATTAGATAAAATTAATACTTCAAAAAGTAAAGCCTCCATTCACAGTTGACAGGTCATTGTTTCCATGTTCAAATCTCTAATTCTATTCAATCGCCGCAAGCAAGAATTAATTAATTTAATACAACGTAGACAGCAGATATATACGCGATAAAATCACGCTTGCATGCACGGATAAAATAGCTACAACAGAAGGCATACCTTTGTTGCACCATCTAATTTTGCTTTTTTCTGCTTCGAAGGTCCACAAGGCATCGCAGAACCTTCTCCGACTCGTTCTCGCTCCTAAATAAGTTGAAAGTACAAAAGTTGATTAAAACTTTGCAAAACCATATATCAAAATCTATGGTAAAAGCATGATAAAGTCCATGATGCAGCAAATAAATAACAAGATTCCACAAAATATATATAGATATATACATATACATATAAACATATACATATACACATAGATATACATATATATACATACATATATATACACATATATATACATATATGTGTGTGTGTGTGTGTATATATATATAGATAGATAGATATATCATTGGGTTCTGAGGCTTGGAACTAGCTCATCTACTTTACCTCGAGAGGTTGATTTGCTGCGGAAATTCACAAAACCAGCGCGGGTTGTTGAAGCAGCTGAGGGTTAGGCATAGGCTACTGCAAATGGAGCTATAATTACTTCATATGTCCAGAAGAGTGATTTAATATCATCTTCTTCTTCTCCAAAAGGTGCCTCTGCCGATGGTTGAGGCGATGACACGTCATCTGCGATTGACTCCAGCCATGACAAGGCGATCGCATCAGCCAAGCACTCTGGCTCTTTGAACACAATAGTGGAGCAAGGCTCGCTGTTTTCAGACAAAGATTTAGGTTTTTTTATTTTTGTTTTTTTTTTCCTACTGGTGCAGGTGCAGGATAGATATATAGCGGTAGAAATACACATCTGTCATCGGGAATAGATGGAAACTGCATTAATTAGTCCACATCAGGAAATTTTTTTATAAATTTGAAATGGCTCCATTCATCATTTAGAACTCATTTGAAATTTTACCGAAAAGGGAGAAGTGAATCAGCTAAACAAGATTCAGCATTTAAATGTTGAATTGAAATTAGTTTTCTGTTTAAAGACAAACATTAAACACCTCCTAAGATGGATTAGATTTTTAGCACATTTACTATTATTTTTGCAAGTGATTATATTTACGTTTACTAATTTCGCATATTTGTATTATCACCACTTCGTTTACTAATTAAAGAGTATATCCACAAGGAAGGGTATGTTTTTGATATAATAGAAAATAAGAATGTAGCATTAGTTATTGGAAGAGGTGAAAGATATTTCCTGAAACCTAAATGAAGGTGACGGGAAACATGAAATTCATTTATCTAGATTTTGCTTGAGAATGGACTACAGGCCAGGTGGAGTCCAAATATTTTTTTGTCGACAAAATAAAACACGGGGATAAAACAAAGAAAGAATAGTCTAAAGGCAAATTGCTGGTCACTTCAAACCCTAGTTCAGGCATTTCCAACCTACCGAAAAAACAAAATTTTAAAATTCAAGTCATGCAACTGGCTTCGTGACCCTTTTCTTTGAAAATATTTCTTTGGAATTTAAAATATAATGGATTTGAAAATATTCAACTCAAAACTCCACATGCAAAATGAAGTTAAATTCGAACATGGAATATATAAGAACGCAAGCAAAAGAATGTATGATAAAATATTGAACTTTCAGCAGGTAAATCGATCCACTCCAGAAACATCACTTTATTTCCCCAATTTCTACCAACAAAATGATTAACAGTACATGATGGTTTTCGACAAAAGTAGTCAATAGACGATTAAAATTATAATACAGAAAATGTAACGGTTGGACAGGAGAAAATACCGGTGTAGTTCTCGAATTGGCAGATCACTGAAGAAATCATATGTGGTTCCTTAGAGAAAAGGGTACGAGAAAGTCGAAGTTTCTCTGGTGACAAACACCAAGCACGTGAACAGAGCACGCGCGGTATTTCAGCATCAACAGAAAGAGAAAAACAAATATAGCAGCGACAGAAAAAGCTACACAGCAGCAGCAACAGCAGTTCATATTCCGCCGCCTTCGACGGTGCATCCTCGGAGCCATCATCAGCTGAGACACAAAACACCAACATATTCAGCCCAAAATAGAGTAGCTGCAGAGCTATCTTCTCTCTCTAAAAAAATTGAGTTATTCCAACTCAACGGGGGAAATGTGTCGAAAATGGTAATAAAGTGTCTTCACCAGGTGATTTTTTATTTTAATTTGACGATAAGACCCTTTAGTTTCTATGAAATTAGATTTTAAACCATTGTTGGTCGAAAACCTACACGCAAGTGCACGTATCGTACAAGTAATATAGTGGACTAAAAGTCCGGATATCGAACCCACAGGGAATATTTAATTATCTAATCCTAGACGCTAAATTCTACCAATTATTATCAAGCCCACTCTACACAGTCGACTTTAGAGAGAATTAACTAAAATAAATTAAAAAGCAAGTTAAAACGACAAAGCAAGAAAGCAAATTAAACACGAAGATTTATCAGAGTAAACGAGCCTAGGATTTTATTCTTCCCCCTATGTGATTATTATTTCCCCAATTCCTTCAATTATGCAAGCAATTAACCCGGATTATTAACCTGAGATGCTAAAATAATCATAACCCGCTTCCGCGTGTATTACGATTCTAACACTCTAGATTCAATTACTATATTCCTATGCAATTAATTCTAGAACACAGCATTAAGCACAAATCTCAATAATGGCTACCTAAGAGATTAACTATATTCCTATGTTAATACCACAAAGGCTCTTCTACCACCGTTCTAATTATTAACCCGATCTTCCGATTCATGCGATTAACAATAACATAAAAGCGCATAAAGTGACCAGTTTCATGAACTTAATAAAACAAGTAGAAGAAATAATCCGGAATTAAAACTTGCATAAAATCATAGAATTGGGTTCATAAATCCCACATAGGGTTCCAAATAAAATCCTAGAAATAAGAAATTTAGCTACTCATGATTAAAGGAAAAACACAAATAAAATAAATCATAGACGATAAATCTATGCTTGAAGTCTTCGAATTCTTCGTCTTCGTTATTGCTTTGTTGCTCTCCAAATTGCGTAAAAAGATGGATCTCAATTGTGTGCTTGGCTTGGTCTTATATAGGGTGAAGAACTTGGGGAATAAGGCAGTTTCCTTGTGCAATTAAAATCCCTTTACTGCGCAACTTCGGATTCTCGGACGGGGGTCCCACGATTTGCACTAAAACTGGGACGGGGGTCCGAGCTTAAAATCTCCAGAATTTTGATTTTTTCACTTTTGGCCCATATTTTCTCCAAAATTGTAGTTTTGACCCCATACTTTTCCAATTCTTCAATTTGTACCTAAAATACAATAAATCAACTTTTTAAGCACCAATTATCATTAAAACACACCAAAAGCCCAAATAAAAAGGTACGATAAAGTGTAAAAATATACACTTAACACACCCCCAAACTTGAACTTTTGCTTGTCATCAAGCAAATAACTCAACTATTACATCTCATCACATAGATCAATGATCAACTTCACGTTTTCAGAACTTGTAATTATAATGACAATTCTTAGGCATTCGCAAGCTCAAAATTCAACAACACTTAGTCACTCATCATTACCAAAAACCACAATTCATACAATTGCTTCAAGCATCCAATATTTGCAAATTAAAGATAGAAAGAATTTATACTTACATGCATATGCTTGACTCCAAATACTCACCAAATTATTCTACTCTACTTATATCAAACATTAAGCTATTGGGATCATTGGGGCTTTGTGGCTTCCAATTGTTAGGCTCTTTGGTTCGAGGTAGGAAATATGGGTATATGTGGCTATTATTCTTGAATTGAGGTGATTACGCCAAAATTTGAAAGATAGGCGTTTGAAACAATGAATTCACCTCTACGGACTTTAATAAACTCGATTCACAAAAGTTCAAAAGTCTCCACTTTTGCTTTTGAGGCAATGGATCGAGTTTTCAAAAATAATTCAACAACTAGTCCTTATTTCTCCCTTCTAGTCTCTTCTTCTTCTCTTTTTCTCTCTCTTTTTTTTTTTCTTTTTTTTTTCTTTTTTTTTTTTTATATATATAGAAGCATAGATATTTGTCTTCTTTTTTTCTTTGTTCTTTTTTTTTTTTTTTAGAAGAAGATGGACCTTATAAAATTTTTGACCGAACTCCAAGGGATAATTTTTTCAAGAATCTCCACCTATTCTACCTTACACATTGGCTAAAAGAAAGAACACCTTTTCTCCGAGGCTCAAATCAAGGTTCTAAGGATAATTTCGATAAAAAGGTCGGCTTGAAAGGCTCAAACGGTTCAAAGAAGGCCCAAATCATATCCCAAATCACTCACTACTCAATACTTCGTATCATAAATTTCCTAAGGTGAGTCTTAAAACCGAACATAGCATGATCTAGCACAAATTAATTCCAAATTTAAAATACAAAACATTCAACAAAAGCAATGCACAAAATGTGATTCCTAGCAATAATTCGCTTCTAAGTCCCGTTGAATCGAAAGCTAAACAAACATCAAATCCTTATCACATAAAATAAGCAATTTCATCATCAAACATTGATCATCTCTCATCATCATAAATCATAGATGCATTCGACTCAAGCAATTTTTTTTTTTTTTTTTATATTCCGGAAAAACGAGAAAAATAATAAAAACGAATAAAACCTAATGCATGCAAACTAAAACAAATAAGCACGAAAATAACATGTTTTTCACACCCCCAAACTTAAAATTTTCGTTGCCCTCAACGAAATTAGCACAAAGTTTAAGGATAGAAAACACCTGATTTAGTCGGAGTCGATGTGATCGGGGTGCTCATCCCTCGCTCTCTCACGCTCGTCCTCATTGGGCGGTGGCACTTTTCTTTCCCTTTCCCTTCCCTTTGGAAGATGATGCTTCGCTCGTGCGGCCTCGTTTGTTGGATGACATAGTTGAGAGAGAGTATGGAATAGCTTCGGTGAGAATTGGTTGACAATCGAACTCAAAATTTGGTTGGAGCAAATTGTCGAACACCTTGTGGGCGTGCCTTGAAAGAGTAGATTTTGGAGAATTTGGTTCGATTCTCTAGCCTCCATTTGTGTGTGGGAGTTTGAGAGAAGGAAAGAGGAGGGTTTAAGAAAAATGGGGGGAAAAATCAAAATTTTTAAAGTTAAAACGCCCTAAAAATGTTCGGACGGCCGTCCCGGTTTTTGTGCTAAATTTCGGACGGCCGTCCGAATTTTTTTTCTCCTTACTGGTTTTGGGACGGCCGTCCCACATTTACAACTATTTTTGGGACGGCCGTCCCACAGGCAGTGGTGCAATATTGTTTTTTTTTTTTTTTTTTTTTTTTTTTTTTTTTCCGGACGGCCGTCTGGACTCCCCGATCATGTTTTCGACCCTGAAAAGTTAAAATTCAAATAAAATAATTAGAATGCATGCCTATGACAATAAAAACGAAATGAAAAATTAAAGAAAACTACGAAAAACAATAAAGCTCGGGTTGCCTCCCAAGAAGCGCTAAGTTTTAAGTATTCAGCCAGACTTTTCTTCTTAAAATTGTTATGTCCAATCCAAAGCCTTGTAGATTGCGCATCCATCAATGAGCTCTTTCACTTGAATTGCAACCGATACAGGGATAGGATTGCAATATGTCAGGGTCCACCTTAGCTTGTAGTC